TAGTAAAAGGAAGAAACGTCAGGGGTAAAGGGGATTCTGTCTAAACTGACCCAACAATATCCTTACTAAAGACAGGCCAGGGTGATCAGATACCACTTGGGGGATGGTGGAGGATCAGGAATTTGATAAGATGTTGAGGGTGATTGGATTTAGCAGGGATTGCTAAGTGGGAATTTACAAGGAAGTGAGCAGATGGGCCTAGGGGAAAATTCAGAAGCCCAACTAAACTTTGGCCAAGCAAAGAATCTTTGTCAATTGCCTGAGATAATTCTTTTGGGGGGGGACAGAGTCTCACTATGTCCCATTGGGTGTTATGCCCAGGAATTTCCAAAGACAATGCCATCACACCACCAAAATTAACATAAGAGTCCTTTATTGAAGAGCTGGCTGGCGACTGCCTCAGTGTCCCAATATGCGGTTTCTGAGTGCTTAAGAGGTCAGGTTTTAAAGGCTTGGTCTGCATCCTGGTTGGCATGCAGGCTGTCCAGGTGCATCCGGGTAGGGTAGCAAGCAAGCAGAAGCAGAATCTTGCTGTCAGTTAGCTATACGTTTTAGTTTCAGTACTTTCCACACCTGGTATTGTTTAAAGGTCAATCCAGGGACAGTTGGTACCTTTCCCAGGAAGTTAGTCAAGTAAGAAATGAGGGCTCGGTGCCTATAGCTCAACCGGCTAAGGCGCCAGCCACGTACACCTAAGGTGGTGGGTTCGAATCCCCAGCCTGGACCCGCCAAACAACAATGACGGCTGCAACCAAAAAATAGCCGGGCGCTGTGGCGGGTGCCTGTGTTCCCAGCTACTTGGGAGGCGGAGGCAGGAGACTCGCTTGAGCCCAGGAGTTGGAGGTTGGTGTGAGCTGTAATGCCACGGCACTCTACCCAGGGGGACAGCTTGAGGCTCTGTCTCAAAAAAAAAAAAAAAAAAAAAAGTAAGAAATGAGAAGTGAACTAGAAGCAAAAAATCAATTAGTACTTTCTCATCTGTCTTGAGAATAAACTAGACTTACTTCATTTTTTTGAAAGCTTACAGTCTTTGGCTTAGTGCCTATGGCTCAAACGGCTAAGGCACCAGCCATATACACCTGAGCTGGCGGGTTTGAATCCAGCCCGGGCCCACCAAACAACAATGATGGCTGGCAACCAAAAAACAGCCGGGCACCTATAGTCCCAGCTGCTTGGGAGGCAGAGGCAGGAGACTTGCTTGAGCCCAGGAGTTAGAAGTTGCTGTGAGCTATGATACCATTGCACTCTACCCAAGGTGATAGCTTGAGGCTCTGTCTCAAAAAAAAAAAAAAAAAAAAAGGAGAAGAACGAAAGCTTACAGTCTGGAAATTTGACAAGAGTTAACTTGAATTTTTCCATTATAGCCTAGGCCTGACCCCTTTCTGCCTTAGCTGAGGCCCACTAGGCCTACCATCAGTAGAGTGCCGTGGTGTCAAACAGTTCACAGCAGCAACCTCAAACTCTTGGGCTTAAGCGATTCTCTTGCCTCAGTCTTCCAAGTAGCTGGGACTACAGGCACCCGCCCCAATGCCGGGCTATTATTTTGTTGCAGTTGTCATTGTTGTTTAGCTGGCCCAGGCCAGGTTTGAACCTACCAGCCTCAGTGTATGTGGCTGGCACCCGACCCACTGAGCTACGGGCACCATGCCAGAGATAATTCTTGATCTTAATTTTCTAGATCACTAACTCAAATCTCAATCATCACCCAGGTGAGGTGGCTCAGGCCTATAATCCCAGCACTCTGGGAGGCTGAGGCAGGAGGATCACCTGACCTCTCTAGCTCACGAGTTCAAGACTAGCCTGAGCTAGAGCAATACCCAAGTAGCTGGGAATAAGGGTACCTACCACTACACTTGGCTAGTTTTTCTTTTTTTTTTTTTTTTTTTTTTTTTTTTAGAGATAGTCTCACTTTATCACCCTCGGTAGAGTGCCGTGGCATCACAGCTCATAGCAACCTCCATCTCCTGGGCTTAGGCGATTCTCTTGCCTCAGCCTTCCAAGTAGCTGGGACTACAGGAGCCTGCCACAATAGCCTGCCCGGCTATTTTTTTTTTTTTTCTGCAGTTTGGCCGGGGCTTACTATATGGGGCCAGCGCCCTACCCTCTGAGCCACAAGTGCTGCCCTAGTTTTTCTACTTTTAATGGAGACAAGGTCTTGTTTTGCTCAAACTGGTCTAGAACTCCTGAGCTCAAGAAATCCACCCACCTCAGCTCCCAAAGTGCTAGGATACAAGAGTGAGCCACCACACCCGGCTTGGAGACATTTCTTATTGCCATGACTGGGTAGATGGAAGCCAGGGGTGCTGCTAAAATCCTACTGTGCACAGGGCAATCTCCCACATTCCACAACAAAAAATCATGAACTGCTGGGCATGGTGGCTCATGCCTGTAATCCCAGCACTCTGGGAGGCTGAGGGGGGTGGATTGCTTGAGCTCTGGCGTTCAAGACCAGCCTGAGCAAGAGGGAGACCTCCATCTCTACTAAAAATAGAAAAACTAGCTAGATGTGGTGGTGCACTCCTGTAGTCCCAGATACTCAGGTGGCTGAGGCAAGAGGATTCCTTGAGCCCAAGGGTTTAAGGTTGCTGTGAGCTATGATACCACAGCACTGTACTTAGTGACAGAGTAAGATTGTTTCCAAAAAAAAAAAAAGGATTGTAAATTAAAATAAAATCTTACATTTCCCCACCCCCAGCTGACTAAATGGACCTCCTCTTAGCCAAGGGGACCCCAGAGAAACCTGAAAGCTGAGTTGCTGGCCATGAGAAAGGAAGCCAGACATACCTGTAGACAAAGGTTAAACCACACCTGCAAGTCATCAACTTATTTCACAGGTCACCTGTGTCTTGCTATATGTCCAGTGGCTTGTTAGTGATTAATATAACGTACTTCCTTATCTTAAAACATTTCAAGTCTTTAGATAAAGTTTCATTTTCATCAACCAATTACAAATCAAAGAATCTTTAAACCCGCTGATAAACCTATAAGCCTTGGCATTTGGACATGCTGCCTTCTCAGGCCAAACCAATGTACACATTCCATGTATTGATTCATGACTTTACACTTAATTCTCGTCTCCCTAAAGTGTATAAAACCACAGTAGGATGCTTGGTGAAGTCTTCCTGGGTATTGTCACATCTATTCGGCTCAGAATAAACCTCTTTAAATTATTTTGCAGAGGCTCAGCGCCTGTAGCTCAAGCAGCTAAGGCGCCAGCCACATACACCTGAGCTGGTGGGTTCGAATCCAGCCAGGGCCTGCCAAACAACAATGACGGCTGCGAGAATCACTTGAGCCCAGGAGTTAGAGGTGCTGTGAGCTGTGATACCACAGTACTCCCAGGGTGACAGCTTGAGGCTCTGTCTCAAAAAAAAAAAAAAAAAATTTTACAGAGCTTGGGTTCTTTTCTGTTGACAGAATCATCTAGTCCAAAACTTCAATCGTGCCAAAGTTGAGAAATCTTTTTTTTTATTTGTAGCAACCTTATCTTTTAAGAAGTTGAGAAACCTTGATGTCTACCAGTCAAAATGTTCTAGTTGGGCAAATCCTGGAAATGCAAGCACTGGCAGGACAAGGGGAAGTGATGAGGAGTCCAGCCAGGCTGATCTTGGATTTTAAAATATATAGAGAAAGGCTTGGAGCCTGTAGCTCAGTGAGTAGGGTGCTGGCCACATACACCAAAGCTGGCAGGTTCCAGTCCCTCCTGGGCCTGCTAAACAACAATGACAACTGCAACCAAAAAATAGCCGGCATTGGGCTGGGCGCCTGTTCCCAGCTACTTGGGAGGCTGAAGCAAGAGAATCGCTTGAGCCCAAGAGTTTGAGGTTGCTGTAAGCTGTGACGCCAAGGCACTCTACCCAGGACAATATAGTGAGACTGACTCCAAAAAAAAAAAAAAAAATTATATATATATAATATAGCCAAGGGGACCCCAGAGAAACCTGAAAGCTGAGTTGCTGGCCATGAGGAGAAGGGAAGTCAGACACACCTGTAGACAAAAGTTAAACATATATATACATATACATATATACATATATATATATATATAGAGAGAGAGAGAGAGAGAAGGATGCCAGGATTGCGTTTTACCTTCCTTTTCTGGTGCTCTTCCCTTTCCTCTCAGCAGCACCCTGCTTGTCCATCCATCCTCCAGGTGCCTGCCCCCAGGCAAGGCAGGATGGAGGAGGTGTGGCACTCGAAGGCTGAAGATGCACTGACCCGCCTGCCAGGCAGTTGGGTCCTACATCCCTGGAGAGAGGCATGTTTTCACTCCTCGCAGATAGAGCTGGAATAGCATTTTCTGCCCAGCTGAAAGACTATCTTTCAGAGGCTGAAAGGACAGGTAAATCTGATTTGCCTGTCACTGTTTTTGCATTTTAAAGGGGGAAGGATGTGAAGCAGTATCCTGAACCCTATAAATGTATCAATGTACAAAGTTATGATTTAACAAAAAATAATTTAAAAAATAAAAATAAAATAAAAATAAAGTGGGAAGGACGAAGGGTTGGTTCTACTGGGCCCCACCCCTCCACTGCCCAGAGTCTGGCCGTCCAAGCCGCGGTGGCCGAGGGCGGTCCCTCCCCAGGATCTGGGATTCTGCCATCCGGGCCACAGAGCCAGGACCGCGCAGCGCCGCCTGGAGCGGAGGACCGACGCCCAGCGGGAGCCAGTAAGTGCCTCCCCAGGCTTCAGCGACCGGCGTCGGGCTGGGGCTGGAGCTTCAACCCAGAGGGAGCGTAATTTGCTTAGGGCTGGTCAGTGCTCTCCTGCTCTGCAGCACCTAGCCGCGCATAGCTATCTCACTTCACGCCGATCCGATACGTCCCCTGCGGCACGAGTCTGGAGGCGGCAGGAGACCCCAGAGGCAGGAGGGCGGGGCGGGAGCCCGGCGAGGCTGGCGCGGGCCGGCAGGGGGTGCTGCCACGCCGGCTGGACAGCGCTGGGCCAGGACCCCGGGGCCCCTGGTCCAGGCCTGCCCCGCCCCACTCCTCACTCTGTGTCTGCAGAGAACATGTTAGCCGTGCACTTTGACAAGCCGGGAGGACCAGAAAACCTCTATGTGAAAGAGGTACCAAAGCCGAGCCCCGGGGAGGGTGAAGTCCTCCTGAAGGTGGTGGCCAGCGCCCTGAACCGAGCGGACTTAATCCAGGTACCGGGGTGGGGGTGGTCAGCTGCGACTGGCCTCGGGCGGGACTCCAGGGCCTTCCTCACCGCAGCCTTCGACGAGCTTTGAGTCATGAAGGAGTGATCTAGGCTCCAGTAACACCTTTTTAGGACAAGTGTGCTGGGGACTCTGAGACGTAAACCCACTTTGACCCCTTCCTTTACACAAAACAAAATAAGGGGGCATTTGCAAGCAGAATCCACCCTGTGTTAATCCATAGTCTGCTCAGGCAAGATAAGAAGGGAATTGCCATTTGCAGGTGGTGGGGGAGGTGGCATTGTCCCTGTCTCATTTACTCCTCTAGCCACCTTGTTTGCCATCTCTATCCTACAGAAAGAGACTAAGGGTCAAAGAAATTAAGCAATATGCCCAAGGCCACCACTCTAGCAATCAGAGGAGCTTGAAAGCTAAGGGGTGGGTAGCTCCAAAGTTTAACTCTTTCTACTGGGAGAGTCCCAGAGTTGGCAGGGAAGAGTACGGTAAAAGAATTTTCTTCTGATAAGGACGCACTAAACTGGGCCAGCTGCATTCAGTTGGGGTCATTCAGAAATGTGCACCAGAATCACCTGGAACACTGTTTCAAAATAAATGTGATGGGGCCCAAGCAAGTGTATTTTGAAAAAGCTCTTCAGGTGGTTCTGCTGCATCACTTTAAAAAGCATCTGAGGACTGCAGTGAGTGGGTACGGCCCCTGACACCTGATATATGGGAACTATCATTAAGGATTCTACGGTTTCTTTCCCAATCTCACTACTAATTTACTTTGGGACCTTGAGCAAGGAATTGCCCTGCCTGGCCTCCGTTCTTCCATGTGTAAAACAAAAGGGTATAGATAGAGCAAACAGCAAAGGACCCTAACAGGTATGACATCCACTGATTATGTGATTTACAGTCTGTTATTTGAATAAAACAAACTATCTCCCCTCTCCTTTTTCTAGAGTTAAAAGCCTGACTTCATGAATTTTCTGAGAAAAAGAGGGGGCTATTGGAGAGGGGCCAGGGATGGTGACACACAGATTTCTGATGATGTTCACCTCTTTCTCTACAGAGACAAGGGCAGTATCCCCCACCCTCAGGAGCAAGCAGCATTTTGGGACTAGAGGCATCTGGACACGTGGCAGAACTTGGGCCTGGCTGCCAGGGTCACTGGAAGATTGGGGACCCAGCCATGGCTCTGCTGCCAGGGGGTGGCCAGGCTCAGTATGTCACTGTCCCTGAAGGGCTTCTCATGCCTATCCCAGAGGGACTGTCCCTGACCCAGGCTGCAGCCATCCCAGAGGCCTGGCTCACTGCCTTCCAGCTGTTACATCTCTTGGGTGAGAATACCCTCTCCATGCTCACTCCATACAATGCAGCTCAACTCCTTCATGACTCAGCTGCCCCAAATACCAGCAATCCTCCAGGACAGCTTCAGCCTGGCAATTTAGACACACCCAGCCCCAGCACCCTGCTGTACCACCAGTAATGTCAGGTCCTCAAAACGTTAGAATGGTTTGATGTTAGGTTGAAGATCATAGTTAGCAGATAGAAGGCCTGTCTACATCTTAGCCCTGGAAGATGAGCAGGAGTCCCAGCTTCAGAAAGTCATGCTGAGTTTCTGTCTTGGGGACCTCAGTGCAACAGAAGGGGCCAGTCAACTCATTTACTCCTCCCTAATCCCATTGAACCCAGTCAAGAACTTTCATGAGGGAGTCTAAGAAGACTTGGTCCCTGCCTTTAAAGAGCTCACTGAACTAGGAATATGGCACATGGATAAAAATCACACAACCATAGAGTTTGGAAAGGTAGCACTGTCTCTAACTACCATTGAAGTTCGAGATGGGAAAAGGTGGTATGGGCAAGGGTGGTCAGAGAAGGCATTTTAGAAGAGGAGAACTTGAAGGGTGGGTAGAGTTGTCATGAACCAAAGACAGACCAAGGTAGCCTAAGAAAGAGTTTTCTAGGTTACATTGGCTGTTTCACTCACAGTGAAGGATGACTATTGTCATTTGTGAAACATGAGGCTAGGGCCATATGGGGGCTTGAATGCAGGCTGTCTGAACTCAATGTGAAAGCCAATGGAGGCTGAGCACTGTGGCTCATGCCTGTAATCCCAGCACTTTAAGAGACCAAGGTAGGAAGATCACAGGAGTTCAAGACCAGACTGGGAAATATAGTCAGATTCCCATTAAAAAAAAAAAAAAAAACTAAATAAATAGGGTAGCGCCTGTGGCTCAGTGAGTAGGGCACCAGCCCCATATACCAAGGGTGGCAGGTTCAAGCCTGGCCCAGCCAAACAGCAACAAAAAATAGCCAGGCATTGTGCCTGGCGCCTGTAGTCCCAGCTACTCGGGAGGCTGAGGCAAGAGAATCATCTAAGCACAGGAGTTGGAGGTTGCTGTGAGCTGTGACACCATGGCACTCTACCAAGGACAATAAAGTGAAACTCTCTTTCTTAAAAAAAAAAAAAACCAACTAAATAAATAAAAATTAGCTGAGCATAGTGGCACAAGCCTGCAGTCCCAGCTACATGGGAAGCTGAGGCAGAGAATGCCTTGAGCCCAGGAGTTTGAGGTTACACTGAGTTATGATTGTGCCACTGTACTCCAGCCTGAGTGACAGTGAGACTCTGTCTCTAAAAAACAAACAAAAAAAGGCAATGGAAGCTGGGTGCAGTGGCTCACGCCTGTAATCCCAGCACTTAGGAGACTGAAGCAGGTGGATTGCCTGAGCTCACAAGTTGGAGACTAGCCTGAGCAAGAGTGAGACCCCATCTCTAAAAAAATAGCCAGACGGGGGTGGCGCCTGTGGCTCAAGGAGTAGGGCGCTGGCCCCATATGCTTAGGATGGCGGGTTCAAACCTCAGCCCCAGCCACAAACTGCAAAAAAAAAAAAAAAAAAAGAAAAGCCAGGCCTTGTGGCAGGCACCTGTAGTCCCAGCTACTTGGGAGGCTGAGGCAAGAGAATTGCTTAAGCCCAAGAGTTGGAGGTCGCTGTGAGCCGTGTGATGCTACAGCACTCTACAGAGGGTGACAAAGTGAGACCCTGTCTTTAAAAAAAGCCAGTGGAAAAGCACGTCGTATTTGGGGTGGAAGTAACAATGAAAGCTCCGTCGTAGGAGGAGGAGCCTAGTGGCTAGGTAGTACCTGGATCAGTGAGAACAGCTGTAGGTCAGCTTCAAATTGAAGCAGCACTTGCTTGAGGTGGTGACCATGAGCATGGTGGTTCTTATTCAGATATAGGGCAGAGATGTGCATTTTGATGTTATTTCGTAGATAAAACTGACGTTTTATATATGTGGCTTCTAATAACCCTGTTTAAAAAGGTTGTTTCCTACTTTCACCAGAGGCAATAAGAAGAATTGCCAATATACTCTCTTAAAGAGGCAAGATGGTTCATATCAGAGTCACGGCACCAAAATAAAAAGAGATTTGGCATCTGGGCCAAGGGCCAGGTGATCATGCTAGAATATGCTTGTGTGGGGAATGTATAGCAGTTGCAAAGAGAACAGTTTCTGTGTTTCCATCCCAGGAAACGTGAAGGTTGGAGACTTCTTACTAATCCATGCAGGATTGAGTGGTGTGGGTACAGCTGCCATCCAGCTTACCCGGATGGCCGGAGCGATTCCTCTGGTCACAGCTGGCTCCCAGCGCAAGCTTCAAATGGCAGAAAAGCTTGGAGCAGCTGCTGGATTCAATTACAAAGAAGAGGATTTTTCTGAAGCAACACTTAAATTCACCAAAGGTAAACAACTGCTTCTGCAGCTCAGCAGGAATTTCAGAGATGATTAAATGAAATCCTCAGTCCTAAAGTTGCCACTGTGCCCGATGGATCTTGACTATACTAACTGCACAACAGATGTCCTGGCTAAATTCTAGTGCTCTGTTGTTTGACCATTGGAGACAGGCAGTCAGTAGTTAGATCTAAGATTGTTTCCATGTGCATTCTTGCACATGCTATGGTTCCCACACAATTTAGAAACTGGATAATCACACAGAGTTGCCCTGGAACTATCCGTGACCTCTCCTTCCCCACTAGCCACTTTACTGTGAGTTAACAGGAACGTGAGGCAGAGACCAGTTTTGAGCTGGTCATAGTAGGATTGGGTGGTAGCTCCCTAAGTGGGTATAGAGATGTGTACACCTCTGTGTTCCAAGGCCAAACCTGTATATTTTTTGACTCATCTTTCCCGTTTTTCATATGAGAGGAAAAGAGATGAAATCAAAGCTAGCAAGCCTATGATTCAGATAACCCGGTACAGATACATCATAACTTAGATGTGAACAGCTAGCCTGCCTCATAGCTTGGGGTGGCCCTCCCCTGTTCTTACTTTGTCATGTCAGGGTGCCAGTGGAACTGTACTCATCTGGGGGTAAGAGGAGTACCAGGTCATGGTACTGCCTCATTTGCCCATTCTTGTGGGTAGGGATCATGAAAGATGAACTCTATCATACTATGTAAACTTCACTTACAAAGCTTCTATGAGCAATGTTTCTAGTTCCAAGGTATAGATTTACCACTTGCACTTATTTATACCTATATATCAACAAATGTACCATATAATGTCATTTTGCACCAAGTTTTCTGTATCTGACTAGCTAGCATCACATATCTGTGTCTCTTATGGAAGGTGCTGGAGTTAACATTATTCTAGACTGCATAGGTGGATCCTACTGGGAGAAGAATGTCAACTGCCTGGCTCTTGATGGTCGCTGGATTCTCTATGGTCTGATGGGAGGAGGTGACATTAGTGGGCCCCTGTTTTCAAAGCTACTTTTTAAACGAGGAAGTCTGACCACCAGTTTGCTGAGATCTAGGGACAAAGAGGTAAGTGAGGCATGAAAAGAACACATGTGATTTAACCCAGAAAAGTGTGGTTCATTTCGGGGAGAAAGGAAGCCTTAGTTTAGGGAGCCTATGAAGAAACCTGCCCCCTTGTGGATAAATAGATAACCTAATCTCTGAGAACTAATTCAGATAGTTTGAATTAGCTTCTTGGAACGAGTATAGCTAATATTTATGTATTATCTAAACTTTCTAACAGAATTAACAAAGCAGTGACCATATTAGGAAGTGTTTCTAGTAGTTCCAAGACTGTTTTCAAAGGTAGAACTTGTCTTACTGTGCCAAAAAAGACTCTTAGGTAAGTAAAATAAGTAGACTTTTATATCCCACAGATTCTGTTTAGCATTCTAGCATTTGGAATGTTTCCCACCACAGTGTTTCAAAATTTCTGGGACTTCTAGAGTTTGAGCATTCTTTTTGCACTGAGTTTATGTAATTCCTGTCTGTGGCTGTCTCCTGGGTAAAGCTTTTCTTTAGAAATAGTTCTTGGCTCGGTGCCTGTGGCTCAAGCGGCTAAGGCGCCAGCCACATACATCTAAGATGGCGGGTTCAAATCCAGCC